TTCTATTGCAGTGTTTTTCATTTCTAGCATTTCTTTTGTATTCTTTCTTGGAATTTCCATCTCTCTACAGACATTACCCATCTAGTCTTGCATAATAGCCTTAGGGGAGTTCCCTGGCATGTGACAAGTCACTTATCTCCTGCTGCTTTCAGCACTGTCTTTTTATCTTTGACTTCCATAGTTTAATTATAATGTGACTTGGTGTAGGCTTCTTTGTGTTCAGTCTATTTGGGATACTGCGGGCTTACAGACTCTGGATGTCTTTTTATGTCCTCAGATTTGGGGTGTTTTCAGTTACTTTTTTCTTTACCATAAGCTCTCTGTCCCTGTCTTGCTTTTCCTTCTAGGACTCCACATTGTGCCCAGAAGGACCAGCCTAAGATGCAAATCTGATCATGTCAGACCTTTGCTTAAAACTCCTAGGCACCTCCTCTTCCCCTACAGGAGAAAGTCCTAACTCCCCAGAATGCCCCAAAAGACCAACCACAGGTCCAGCCAGCGCTGCCTTCCTCCCCATCAGCAGCACCTGCCCCTTCCTGCTCTAGCAATACTGCCCTGCTGATCACTCCCCAACGCTGGGCTCTTTCTCATTTCTGTGCCTTTGTTTATGCAGCCCCTTCTGCCTGGGGTGCTTCTCAATTCCCCTTCCTCGGCAAACTGCCACTCATCCATTCCAGTGGTGTGCTGTAAATGTTTAGCAGCTGGATCTCCAGAGCAAAAAAAGCCCTGATCTGGATCATGTGCCGATTTCTGTGGTGTAAATACTCCCACTCCCACGATATCCAATTTCAAACTCCCAGCAACATCGCTACACGGAAGTTGGGAGGAGATTGCACAATTGGTGAGCCAGCTCCAGCTCACCACTGACCTCAGATGACCCGCAGGAAGTCTGGCCCCAGCCTCCCCCCGGGCTTTCAGAGCAGTGTGGGCATTCTCCCTGCCCTGCACTTCCTACCTTGTTTGGTAATTTTCTTTCAGGTGACTCTCTCTGACCACTAGAGGGTGCACTCCGGAAGGCAGACTATTTACTGCATTTTATGCAATAGTCACTTGCTGAATAAAGGAATGTACCCCTTCTCTGGACCCATCCCTGTTCTGGTTCGCATTCTGTCAGTGACTCCCAAGAGCTCTCAAAGCACACGCACAGATGATAGGACGCTGAAAGGACAATGATTTAGATAGATTTCAAGTGAAGTCTGAGGAAGAACAGGGCAGGTTACTTCAACGGGCCTCATCCAATGAGATGAAAATGTAAAGGGAAAGTATGTCTTTCACTCAGACTTTCTATAAACCACTATAAGGCCCTGGCTGGTTTGGCTCAGTGGACAGAGCATCGGCCTGCGGACTGAAGGGTCCCGGATTCAATTCCGTCAAGGGCACAAGCCCGGGTTTCGTCTCAATCTCCAGTAGGGGGCGTGAAGGAGGCAGCCGATCAATGATTCTCTCATCATTGATGTTTCTCTCTCTCTCTCCCTCTCCCTTTCTCTCTGAAATCAATAAAAAATAAAAACAAACAAACAAAAAAAAACATTATAAGCACAGACTTGGCTACAACACAGGAGAAAAGACTGGGGGCTGCTGGACTCTGAATGGGATGACAGCGTTCAGAGAAAAGGAAGGAAGGGAAGGAGAAAGGGCAAAAAGGAGGGAGGGAAAGAGGAAGCAGGCAGCAAACGTTCCCCAGCGCCTTCATCCTAATTGGATCTTGGGGATCTCATCCCAGAAGAATACAAACTTTTTAAACTGAGTACAACTCACTTTCCAAACTTTAAATGAGTTTAGGGACTAAAATGGTCCCAAAGAACAGACTGGAGTTTAAATTATCATCTAAGGGCACTGTCCAGTCCTTTGGAGAATGTGCCTTTGAACACACAAGGCAGGCGGAGGGGCGGGACTGGCTGGACCCTTCACCTGTCACACATTCTGAACTCTCACCCTGGAGCTTCAGACCCAGTGTCACTATGTCTGACATGTGGCCTCTTCCCAGCCCTTAGGAAACAAATCATTGTTACTCACCATTTTTCTGGTAAAGGTAAGCGCACGTTTGTTTGTTTGTCTGTTTGATTTTTGTTAATCCTCACCTGAGGATATTTTTCCATGGATTTTTTTTTTTTTTTTTTTAGAGAGAGTGGATGGTGCATGTGCCTCTAAGAGATATATTGATTTTTTAAAGGCCCTCAGAGAAGAATAGAGACTACTCTTGTTTATGTTCATGCTGAAGCCACACTGTTTCTGGATTTAAAAAATATATATATATATATATATATATATATATATATATATATATATATATTTTATTGATTTCAGAGAGGAAGGAAGAGGGAGTGAGAGATTGAAACATCAGTGATGAGAGAGAATCATTGATTAGCTGCCTCCTGCTGACTCCTGCACGTCCTACACTGGGGATCTAGCCCGCAACCTGGGCATGTGCCCCGACCAGGAATTGAACCGTGACCTCCTGGTTCATGGGTCAATGCTCAACCATTGAGCCTCGCTGGCCAAGCTATTTCTGGATATTTTGAGGGCTTTTTGTGGAAGAGGGATTAAAGCTGCAAGGGACCATATTTTAGCTCAGTATCAAAGGGGAACCACTTCCAAGTGAAAAGACCCTGCCCAGGAAGTTAATATAGCCCCCCCCCCCCCCCGCCCGCCCCGCAAATCACTCAGGGCATCAGGCCAGGCGGGGGACTGTGAGGAGTGCAGTAAGGGGCTTTCTGCTTTGGAAAGGGAGCAGATAGACCCTAAGGCCTATTGTCAGTAGCATTAGAGTGATTATTACAGTCCATGACAATGATGACAATGATGATGATGATGACATTGACAATGATGAGGATGTAATTACTTACATAATTAATAATGGTGAGCACCACTTCCCCTCTAGATTTTGAGCTTTTTGAGTTAGGGGTTATGCCTTTCATTGCTGTGATCCTGGCACCTAGAATTCTGCCTGACCCAGAGCAGATGCCCAATACACGTCTGTTAACCTGATTTGAATTATGATGGGACTGGCGTGGTAACAGCTATAGTGTGAAGTACCAACCGGGGCGTGTCTGGTTCTCCAGGAAGGAGGTGCCCCTGTACACGGAGGAAGGGGCCGGATAACTGAAAACATTTGGAGCTATGGACGTGCGGGAAGTTCATGAGTATTGTAGATACAGAGCAAATAAAACTCCGTGTCCAACACCCTCAGTGTTGCCTAAAGTTTTCTACTGGTCCAGCATCCATCCCAGTTTGGGGAGCACTTTGCAGTCTGAGGAGAGATTCAAGCTTCCCAGAAAGAAGAGCTGACAGAGCAGGACTAGGGCTCTATGAACAGTATCAGGGAGAAGCCAGTGCCTCCCGTGCAGGCAGACGGAGGATGACAAGAAGGGATGATCAGTCAGAATTCTCCTTCAACCTCAGCAAGGCCCACTTGCTGCGCTAACTGTACAAAAGGATCAGCAGCCTGTTCAGACCTTGGCACTGTGGTCTGGGCTGATTCTCTCAACGGGTAACTCGACAGCAGAGGCTCTTGGCTCCCACCAGCCCCAAGGGAAGGGACACTTGAGTTTCATTTTTCTACCTATTGCTTATCTTTAAAAAAATAATAAATTTATTAGGATGACGTTGGTTATTAAAATTATATAGGTTTCAAGTGTACAATTATATATAATACACAATCTGTATATTACATTGTGTGTTTACCACCCAGAGTCAAATCTCCTTCTCTCACCATGTAAGACCCCTTCTACCTTTTACTACCTCCCCGGTCCTGCTTTCCCTCCGGTAACTACCATACTGTTGTCTGTGTTTTCGTTTGTTTGTCTTGTTTTTGCATTTGTTGCTTTCAGTTTGATAGCCCACAAGGGAGTGAAATCGTATGGTTCTTGACTTTTCCCGTCTACTGATTTTGCAGCTTTAGAGTGATATTCTCAAAATCTATCCACCTTGTCACAAATGGCAGTATTGCATCTTTTCTTCCAGCTGGGTACTATTCCATTGCATGTATGTCCCACATCTTTGTTATCCAATCATAGATTGAAGGACACTTCAGTTGTTTCCTTGTCTTGACCACCGTGAATTATGCAGCTTAGTGGCCCATTTTGGCCCGGGGCCCACGATTCATGGCCCACACATGGCACAGCGGTGGCCACGAGAGCACAACCTTCACAAGCTCATGAGCCGCAACTTGAATCACCCTGTTGATTTTCATTTATGTTGTCTTGTCACATGAGTGCCATATTTTAAATCTATATACCAGATGCTGTATTGGCAAAATTTTTGTGGAAATGATTTAGAGACTGTAGTGATGTTACCTTCCTTCAGAGTGGATTTATGTTTGCTTCTGTTAGCTATTTGGGAGCACCAAAAATCTGGGACAGCCTCAATCCAATTTCAGGGCTTGGGAAAATTTGAAGCTAGCTACAAAACCTGTAAATGTGTGTTTCCTTCTGATTCACTCTTATTCTTATGGAGCTGCCCTGGGGGCGGGATTCCCCCCCCCCCAACAGAAGGAAGTTTAATTAGGAACAACTTCATGGTGGGCCTTGCACTTCAAAACCTGCTCCCCACCTCCAGGAGGCTGTCAGCAGTGCCTCTTGGCCTCTCGGTGACCACCCCCAGAAGCTGCAAATGTCCCAGTTGAAAATAGCCTCAAATGCTGGTCTCACTTCTCTGAGTTCCTATTTACCCCAGAATTATGACCCTATGATTCCTTGTTGTTTTATTTACCTTGCCAATACTTTACACAGATGTTTTATATAGTTTGTCCAGTGTTTATAATTGTCATCTGCAGGAGAATTAGTCCAAATTAACTTGTTTGTTCTTACTGAAAGCAGAGATTAAATATTGATCTCTACTACATTTTTCCTAGTATCCTGTTAGAGATGACCAAACTGTCAGCGCTACTCTCCAGTTGCTCAGCCGGGTGGGGATTCTACCTGACTGCCCAGGCACATTTGGAGTCAGAGAGTGCTGAGGTTGACCTTCTGAGTTACTGCAAGTGACAGATTAGATACAACATGGACAGGTCCAATCAGACCTCCCCAGTGGTGGGGTTCATTCTCCTGGGCCTCTCTGCCCACCCTAAACTGGAGAAAACATTCTTTGTGCTCATCCTGCTGATGTACCTGGTGATCCTGCTGGGCAATGGGGTCCTCGTCCTGGTGACCATCTCTGACTCCCACCTGCACACACCCATGTACTTCTTCCTGGGGAACCTCTCCTTCCTGGACATCTGCTACACCACCTCCTCAGTTCCCCTCATTCTTGACAGCTTCCTGACCCCCAGGAAAACCATCCCCTTCTCAGCCTGTGCTGTGCAGATGTTTCTCTCCTTTGCCATGGGAGCCACAGAGTGTGTGCTCCTGAGCATGATGGCGTTTGATCGCTACGTGGCCATCTGCAACCCCCTTAGATACCCCATGGTCATGAGCAAGGCTGCCTACGTGCCCATGGCTGCCGGCTCCTGGGCAGCTGGTATCACCAACTCCGTAGTTCAGACGTCCCAGGCCATGAGGCTGCCCTTCTGTGGGGACAACGTCATCAACCACTTCACCTGTGAGATCCTGGCTGTCCTGAAGTTGGCCTGTGCTGACATCTCCATCAATGTGATCAGCATGGTTGTGGCCAATATGATCTTCCTTGCAATCCCAGTCCTGTTCATTTTTGTCTCCTATGTGTTCATCATTGCTACCATCCTGAGGATCCCCTCAGCTGAGGGGAGGAGAAAGGCCTTCTCTACCTGCTCTGCCCACCTCACAGTCGTGGTCGTCTTCTATGGGACCATCCTCTTCATGTACGGGAAACCCAAATCCAAGGACCCTCTGGGGGCAGACAAACAGGACCTTTCAGACAAGCTCATCTCCCTCTTCTATGGGGTGGTGACCCCCATGCTCAACCCCATCATCTACAGCCTGAGGAACAAGGACGTGAAGGCTGCTGTGAAGAACCTGGTGAGTCAGAAACACCTAACTAAGTGACTGTCACCGTTTCCCAGACTGTCAGAATGCAAGACCACAAACTCCTCATTGTACTTGTGGGAAAATGGTAACCCAGGGAGGTCCTTGGCTATCAGTGGAAAGAGCCTTTTCATTTCTGGCACTACTGATTCGTTTGTTGGCTTCACACAAAACTACGCTGTATCATATAATAGCTATATTTTGCTACCCAAATCTTAAATCCTCTGATACCAGAACTTGATGAATAGCTATAAAGAGTTACAGATGTGGTCAAAAGAAACAAACAAAAATATGAATAGTACAGGGCCTTAGAGTATATTGTCTTTCCCTGTGTAGAACTGCTGCTTACTCTGTTCTGCTCTGGTCTCATTCCAAAGACCTTTGCTCTATATGATACAGGGATCAATTAAAAAATGTCATCTGCCTCAATGTATATTAGCGATCATTAGCACCATGACAGGCATGCCACTCATATATTAGCATGACTTATCTTGAGCATCTGCTTGGTTTTGATCTAATGGAATCTACTCATTCACCATATTCTCCTCTTTTTAAAAAATATTTTTTTATTGATTTCAGAGAGGAAGGGAGAGAGAGAGAGAGAGAGAGAGAGAGAGAGAGAGAGAGAGAGAGGGAGAGAGAAACATCAGTGATGAGAGAGAATCATTGATCAGCTGCCTCCTGCACACCCCATACTGGGGATGGAGCTACCCAGGCATATGCCCTGATTGGGAATTGAACCATGGCCTCCTGGTTCATAGATCGATGCTCAATCTCTGAGCCACACCAGCTGGGCCATATTCTCCTCTGTATTGTCAGTGCAGAGAAGCTCAGAGGCAGACATGCCACCTCACTGCAGCAGTTACTAGAGAGCTACATGACTGGGTGCCAGCAGCTCCCCAACTTTCATCCATGCAGCTGATGTGCCACCTGGATGGCAGTTACATACGCCCAGCACACACTCCATGAACACCACACTGTGATGAAACCCCAAAAAGATTGTGGGGAAGCAAATGCAAAAATCATCCTTAATTCCACAACTAATAAGAGGCCAGCAGTAACAGTTACTCCTTACCAGCAGTGGCACAGGTGAGACTGGCCTTGGGAGCAGCGTACCTCCCGGAGTTCTAAGTCCATGACTTTCTCCTACGCCCAAGGAACATACTGAAATAGTATGTGTTTACTGTATTACAGAGATTATTTTAATCCTCTTAAATTTATATTGGTAAAAGTCTGTTAATTACCAAATCTCGGTCCTTTAACTATTATCAGTATATAGCAGGTTGTTTTCTCTTTTTTTTTTTCCTCCCTCTTCCTTCCTCATCCCCATGTTAAATCAGCTCCCTCCCCAAGGGGTTAATAGGGGGGAAAAAGAGGGACATCTGTAATACTCTCAACAATAAAGATAAATTTTTTTTTAAATCAGCTCCCTCCCCTTACTGGTTGATAGGTGCCTCCAAAGTTATATTCATTTTCTATTGCTGTCTATGTATTTAAAACCTATTTGAATTGGGGGGGGGGGAGACATTTGGAACCCATAATACCTACTAATGTAATTGTATTATCTAAAATATCAGAAAAAAAATCTTTGTATTGAAAATGGCATCTCTTTTAAGAATGGTGTACAGGATAGGGAAAAATTAGGTTTACAGTGTGAGTGTGCAAAACACAGAGTGTATTCTTGTATTATTTATTACTGGATTATTTTCTGTATGAACAACTGTAAACCTACTTTTGCCCCATACTGTATATATGTGTGTGCACATACGTGTGTCTTTGTGTGGTTTTATAATTGAGATGGGAAAGGATTAATAACAATGCATTGATTTATGGCGGCCCAATTTAAGCTTTCTCCCACAATTTACTAACATAACTCAGTTATTTCCTGTACACAGACCTTTGCTTCAATCAGTCATTTCCCACATTTTGACTTCCTGTTGTGAAAAGAATACATGAATAAACCAAAATCTCTCACAACCATGTCTGATAAACTAATATCCAGAAGTGCTTTCAAGTATTTCCTCTCTATAAAAGGAGCCCATTGGCACCACACTGCATATTAGCCTCTATTTTAACTGAGAAAAAAAGGATTTAAAATTGCCTCCCTTGCTTTTATTTACCCCAGTACATTTGTGTAACCCTTGGCGAGGTAATCTGAAGAAGTTTTAATCTAGCTCCGATTAGTCAAAGATTGCAATAGGACCGTTATCAGCAGCATGTCAGTTTTAGCTGTTGGAGTAAGCTGTCTCTGACGGGCTGCTGCTGCTGCATCCCATAGGTTTTGGTGCTTTGTGGTGTGTGTTTTTATTTGTCTGGATGTATTTATTTTCTAATTTCCTTTGTGATTTTTTTCTTTGACCCAATGGGTGTTCATGAGTGTGTTAATTTCCACATACTTGTGAATTTTCCAGCTTTCCTTCTGCCATTGATTTTTAGTTTCATTCCATTGTGATCAGAAAAGATACTTGGCATGAATTCATTCATACTTAAATCTGTTAAGACTTGTTTTATAACCTAACATGTGATCCATCCTGGAGAAAGTTCCATGTGGGCCTGAGTTGACCACAATCCCAGCCTCCTCTATACCCAGAGGTGGGCGGGGCCTCTGCTGTGAAAAGAAAAGTGGTTGTAGCCCAGGAAGGGGTGAGCAACAGGACACAGGGGGGGCTGGGGCTCCAGGGTGGGGTCTCCGTTTCTCACTTACACTCTGTGCTGTCTCTGCATTTATCTTTGTTTTGTGGTCTCCACCGCATCTAATTCGCTGTTAATAATGTGGTTAAAGCAAGTCTTATTAATGGTTAATAAGAGGGTTGGGGCCCTGGCCGGTTTGGCTGCATGGTTAGAGCCACAGCCTAAGGACCGAAAGGTCTTGGGTTCGATTCCCGGTTAACGAACGGCATGTACCTCTGTTGCATGTCTCTCATGGCAATGTTTTTTTTTATTTTTCTCTCTCTCCCCCTCCTCCCTCCTTTCCACTCTCTCTCTAAAAAAAAAAAAAAAATCAATGGAAAAAATATCCTTGGGTGAGGATTTTAAAAAACAAAGAAAAAATAGTAACAACAGGGTTGGAAATGAAGATTTTTAGAACCCTTTGCTTCCTCCCCAATTCTTTAATCCTCGCTGTGAGAAACATCAATGGGATGCCTCCTGCATGCGCCCCCACAGGAGATCAAACCCACAACCTAGGTATGTGCCCTGACCCAGAACCCACCCCGCAACGTTTTGGTGAATGAGATGATGCTCCAACCCACCTAGCCATCCGGCCAGGGCCCCCAAATATTTTTTAAATTTCCTTATAGTCTGGGCACATGTTGTTCAGGCTCAATTAGCCTCAGTTCTATGAAGACTTCTGTTCTTGGAGGGGCTGGGTCGAGGCTCTAGCTGGGGCGCTCCCGCCCGGTGTTGGCCGTTGGGGGTTGTTGGGCGGCGCGAGGCGGACCGAACCGGCGGCTCCGGCTGAAGGCTGAGCGGCCGGCGGAGCATCCCGGGCAGAGGCTGAGGCGGGACGGCGGCGGGGGCCGCAGCCCCTGGGAGACCCGGCCGGCCGAGATGCTGGCGGGAAACGTGGTGGAGGCGTTTGAGAAGAAGGAGGACGCGCCCTGGTGCGACCACTAGGACCTCCAGCAGGATCTCCAACTTGCTGCCGAGCTTGGGAAGACATCACTGGGTCGGAACCGAGGCGGAGGACTCCCTCCAGCAGGTGCACACAACAGTCAGGAGCAGCCGCAGGAGACGGAGGATCTGACCAAGCAGATGGCGCTCCCGCCGCAGGTGCAGGAGCAGCGAGCGAAGGTCCAGGAGCACCTCGTTGTCCCCACAAGGAAGCTGGATGAAATCAACCAGCAGCTTGTTGCGGGCAGCACGGCCGCCCAGCAGAAGTTCCTGAGTGTGATGGAATTGATCGGAAGCCTGAAAGCCAGCGTCCATCGCCTCCAGAGCCACGTGGAGGAGCTGGAGTCCTGTGGCCCAGCGGGGCGGAGCCAGGGGAAGCGTGGCCCCAAGTCCGCACCCGGCTTCCCGGGTGGGAGAGAGCTGTGTGACCCACGCCAACACTGTGTGTGTGACCACGAGCTTGCAGAAAAGATCGCTTCCTTGCCAGGTCCGCCAAGCCCCTACACGGAAGAAAATAAGCTGTTGAAGAAGGCGGTGAGGACGCTGCTGGCGCAGCTGAGCCTGGAGCAGCAGCGGCGGGGGGCCTTGGAGGAGCAGTTCGGGCTCGTGCTGAAGGAGAACGAGCAGCTGGAGCAGCAGCTGCGGGCCGCCGGCGCCTTCCGGGCCCGGGCGCTGGAGCTGGAGGCCGCGGTGGCTGAAATGCGGCGGGTGCTGCCGTCGGAGCGTCTCTTCGTGCCTGGGATCGAAAAGCTGGTGCCCGACTCCCTGCTGGTCCCGTTCAGAAAGCCCGGCCGGAGCCTGTTGGACGAGATGCCACTGACGGTGCCCGAGGCCCAGCGGAGGCCCCTCCCGGAGCCCCTCCAGCGCAGCAGCAGCTGCAGCGAGACGGTGCTGAGCAGCTTGGCGGGCGGGGACATCGGCACGAGCCACGAGGGGACCTGCATCCCGCAGGCCAAGGCTGCGAAGCAGAGCGGTGTGTCCCGGCTGCAGGAACTCCACACACAGAATAGCGCCCTGAAGGCCAGGTCCGAGGAGCTGCAGAAGGGGGACTCACTGTCCCACAAGGCTGTGCCGATAGCCAGGGCTCCGGCCAGGGCCCCAGCTGCCAGGGCCCCACCCCCCGCGGGTGCCAGCACCAGCACCAGCACCCCCCCTCCCAGATACAAAGCGCTCTTTAAGGAGATCTTCAGCTGCATCCAAAAGAGGAAGCAGATCAACAAGCAGAGAGTGAAATACCGCCCACTCCCCTCTCCTTAATGGGGCCCCCAGCTCCCCTGCTCATTGCCTATCTCCCATCACCCCTCTCTCACTCAGACCTGTGTTTGTAGACCCCCCAAAGCCTGAAGCTGCTCACTGCTTTGCTTACTTAGCCAGTGTGTGTGTGCAGTGAGGAAAGAGGATGGCTCCCG